GATGAAATCCAAGTGACGAATTTCGTACGGAGAGTAGCAATCGGAATGTGCACGAAAACATACATTATTGATTTGTGGTCAGTCACGACAATGAGTTGACGATGTTTGAGGAGATGATGAAAATGTCGGATGGCAAGGTATACTGATAGCACTTCGCGACCAAAGGTGCTGTAGTAAGTTTGGGATGGCAAAAACTTCTGTGAATAGAATGCCAGGGGCTACTGGAATTTCTTACTAACGGATGAAGTACCCCTCCAACGGCATAATTCGACGCGTCGATTTTCGGCATCAGTTGAGTGAATGGAGAAGAATTCTGGTGGAACAACATGGTAGCGTCCTGGAGGGCTGATTTGGCGGTGTTAAACGCTTTGAGCGCCTCAGGAGTGTAGATAATATCCTTTTTGTTACCGCTTGGCAAATGAGTGGGAGGATGAAGTAAGGCGGAACAATTGGGGATAAAACGACGATATTAAGTTGTTTGACAGAATTTGGACGGCGGAGGATCTGAATGGCTTGAACCCTAGAAGACAGTGAGAGAATGCCTCGGGAATTAATTTCACGGCCTAGAAATTCTAAGGATGAGACACCAAAAATGCATTTGGATGGGTTCTGTGTGAGATCATAATGTTCAAAACGTTATAAAAGAACGAGCAAGTGGGAGCTGTGCTCTTCGGGTGAAGTGCTCGCTAATAGAATGTCATCCAAGTAAACGAAAATAAAGTCAAGACCTCGAGTCACTTGGTTCATAAAAAGTTGAAATTTTCGCGCTGCGTTACGTAATCCAAAAGTCATTCGTAAAAATTCGAACATACCAAATGGGTTTGTGAATGCCGTTTTGGGAGTCTGATTCAGCTACTGGCAGCCACTGGCAGCCACTGGTGATAGTATGCACGCACAAGGTCGATTTTGGAAATAAATTGTTTTAAGTGGAGAGTGAGTGCGAAGTCATGTATTTGTGGAATGTATTATCTGTTGGATATGGTGGAGTTGTTGAGTGCTCTGTAGTCACCACAAGGACGCAAATCTCCAGGGGTTTTCTTGGGTATCATATGCAGTGGGGACGACCAAGGGGAGTTGGATGGGTGAATGATACAAAGCTGGAGCATGTGGTCGAACTCTGAGCGAGCAATGGCCAATTTATCGGGTGAGTCGGCTAGGTCTGGTGGTGACAGGTTGACCTTTGGTTGATGATGCTACGGGTCACCTCGTGTGTAACACTCACAGGTTTGTAGTAGTGCTGTGTCAATTCTCCAAATTCAAGATTATTGGAGAAGACAGATGACTCGAGTTCGGGTAGATGGAGTCCCATGGAACAAATGCGCGTTGTGCGAGCACTGACAGATAATAAGGTGGAGGTTTTGAATATTTTTGCTGCTTGACGTCAACAACGAGACCGACAGCAGACGAAAGATCAACACTAATGTTGACAGTATGGACACCAGCAATGGTGAAAATCCACCTGGATCGTCGTCTTGAAACATGATTGACGGTGATAGAGCAACGGCCGTAGGTTTGAATCCGACTACGGTTGGCTGCTTGTAGGGTGATAGCGGTTGGTTGAAGGTAGCGTTAGTGTGCCATAAGGAGAATCACGCTCAGTTCAGCAAAGGTGTCGATCAAAAATCGGATACCTGTGCTTTGATCTTGGATGAATAATACATGACTGCGGAGGAAGCCGGAAACAGGCGCCGCCATTACTGTCCAGCTTTGGGGTTCCCTGTGAAGTGAACAAACCGAGTGGACTGAACTTCTTGGCTCTGGAGCCAAAGTGTTGGTGATACCAGCAATGTTGAGGGTTGGAGCTGGTTCATGGGTAGTTTCTGCGGGTTTGCGAAGTCGAGCGACTTTCACTTCGGCTGCGGTTGGATGACCGTGAGCGGGAGAGATGAAGAACCCATTGCTGTATATGCAGTTCAAGGTTTCCCATTCGCAAAGTGATATCATCACAGCGAGGAGTGGTCGGGGTTGGGTAGGAGCAAGCGGTGATCTGTTGCGAAGCTGGGTTTGCTTCGAACATTTTATCCGCGGCCATTGACATTTCATCCAAAGAACTGTTGTAGATGACGGATAAAACTTCCCAGACGCGTGGAGGGAGACGCTTCAACTAAACCTGCCGGGGGATGGCGTTATCAAGCACTCGGGTACCGAGGAGTTGCCGCATATGTCACAAGAACAAGGGCGGGGTGCGGTCGCCGATTTAGAGAACCCAAATAATTCATCCGTTGGGCGTTCATCCAACTAAGCTGTGCGGGTGTTCAATGCTTCCTTCAATTGAGTGCATGAGTCATTCTCAAGTGTGGTGATTGCAACAGTCAAAATGACTGAAAATTCCTCTCAATAACCTTGCATTTCCTTTTCTTTCTTCGCCGTTTTATTGTGTAATCTTTCTGATAGTGGTTTTCATGTCAGTAAATCTTCTATTCTGAACCTTCTATTTCACTTATTTACGGTGAAGCATATCTATTGGACACATGCTTCAAGTACTTCATGCATATATGTGAATGGGATTTAATGCTTTTTCTTGTTTTATTACGAAAACGCTTCAATTGGACGCTCTTTGTTGGACTAACCGTTGCTTTTGGCTATATTCAACTCCTTTTGGCTGTAACTCTCAAGATCATTTTGCTCGATCTTTTGAAGCGTGCAGAATTTTCCTATTAGTCCGGAATTATCTTGAGAATAATCCAGATCTCTCACTTTTCTATTTACCTTTCTATATTTGCAGATATTTCCGTGAATACTTCTTACATTTTGGCTGGATGTTGAATTAGGCTCACTATCAGAGGTATGACTACCTTATGTATTCTTTCATTATTACCAAAATAGTACCGTAGATTATTTTTCGATCGACTTTCTTCTCGATAATTTGGGCTACGCGTTGCTCTGAGGTTTTGTTATCGCTATCCAGAACGAGCGAAGGCTCATTTGATTGAACGCATACAGACGATGACATTTTGTTTTGCTCGGACCACTACAAGCGCGTTTTGGTCGTTACAGTGATGATAAACTCAAACATCTGTTCCTCAATGTCTGTAGGGAGGGAAGTGACTATGTGGGAATACATAGTCTTTTGGTAGCAAATGCGTTGGGCACGGGAATGGGCTTCGGCTTGGGTGAACTACAACCGGGGGTTGTTAATAACAAATGCGGTCACTTTAATGTGGGAGCGTAGCGGTTCTTCAGCCAACAGTTTTGCAACGACACTTTTCTTTTCTTACCTCTTGTTTTCCTCTTAGTTTCCTGATAGATCCATTCAAGCTGGAGGCGATCATCAAATCAAGGATCAAAAGCAACTTCACCCTACGCTGGTGACTATCATCAGTTTCTAACCAGTCTTGTATAACTGAGGATTATCAGGACATGGTTACACAACCATGACACACGTATCAGAACCATCAAGGTTCAGATATCAAGCAGTGACTTAGCCTATTGATAGACTACCGTTAAGCTTTTCCTGCTAACATAAGGACCCTTCATCACTGCCGGGCACAATCAAGTGTACCATCCAGATTTAGTATGTATCGCCATTATTTTGGGATATCAATCTCCTGGTGAACGTTTCTTTACTAGATATAGAAACCAGGTAGCGGTGGTCACATTCTGGTCTCAATCCAATTTCAGTACACTGATATAGCCTCAAAACTATATCAGTTGAATATGAGGCTTATCGGTGAATACTCTCTCGAGTATAATCACCCAGTTCTCCTTTATGGTAACCACACACCTCACATCTCTTAATTTCTCCTACCAATGCACGGTGTCACTCTTCTTCGTAATCCTGATCGAAAACTGGAAACCTTGCAATCGTGAATGACATTTGCAATCCTATTTAATCATTCCCCGCTGCGCCTTCGTCGTTTATATTTATCTATAGATATGCATATATTTGTATAGACTTCCTTGCAGTATTCCACCCTGCATATTGTTTCGTGAAATGCTCTGTTCCCTCGCACCCCTTCTCAGCTGGTTATTACCCCAGACTATTGAGTATCGCCTTTTTGTTCCAGATTTGGTTGGGCTTGCCGAACGCTTGGAGTCCGCACCCACAATGGATAAGTTGGCTCCGACAATGGTTGTTGGACACAAATACATGCGTCCGCATTCCGGACCAGGTTGGGGATCACAGTTCCCGCCTCACCCACAAGGTGTTTTGAGTTGGGTGTCTTGCGTGTAGTCAGTCCCACATTACAGAGACCAACACCTAAATAATCTAAATCATTCCATGACCAATCTAAGCCCCAAACCCAATGAGTGTGTTCTCAGAAGCAACCTGTGTTGCCGCATACTGAGAGACACATACTATTGCAAATGTGTGAACTCGCTGTACTCCTCCTTCCTATTCATTTGTATTTGCGTGTCTCCCGTTCTTTGATTCACAGAACATATCTCCGTATTTTCTCCCAATAATGTCGTAAGTCCAATCCTCTCGACACAAGGTTAGCTGTTCCTTCAATTTCCATTTGATATGCTTACTTACTGTATTTGTCCAGCCTCCACATATACGTTTGCGACATTGTCCGCTTTGTGTTCCGTTTGTATGGTGTTTTTGTTCCGCTCCCCCACCACTTCCTTATGTTTTTCTTCTCATTAAAAAAGTGCAGGTATAAACATATCTGCACTTTTATTGTACATGTGATTCTTTTGATCATATGATCATGCTTTGTGCATGCTTAACGGGATTTGTGAAACATACAATATTATTATTATTATTATTATTAACTTAGATGCTTCCAGAAATACGTTTTGCGTTAACTATTATCGTGTCTTTAATGAGCTCAAAAAGACCGCACCGGCACAATGCCCCACGGCGAGCTCTATATTGCACGCCTTCCTTGAATTGATCAGATCTACTTTCAGGTTTCCCTACCGTTGCTTAAACAACAGCTTGGGCGTAGCCAAACTTACTTCCAACATTATGGAAGTTTTAGAATTTAGAAATTAGAATTTCTACAATCCC